CTCAGGTTCGCCGATCCTCACCTCACCACCTCCTAGGATCATAGCTCACCAACCGTTACCATCACCTTCGGTAACGCCTCACTGATTCCATCACTTCTGAAATCAGCTACCGACACTCAATCCCCACCTTTTAGGAATAAGGCTCAACAATAACGGATCAATGTCCTACCTCATGAATGAATACAACTTCTTAAACATGCAACAATGACATCGAGCACAATTACAACACCTCCATAGTCAAAGTATTCTACCAATACTGGCCATCATGCACCAAATACATGCTACAATAGTTCAACAATAGCAACACAACGATACAACAATCAACCACAACGCATTTATGAATATGTCACATCACAACATAAGAATCACAAAGATTTTCGCACAATCATATAGCAAAATATACAACCTCGGGTACAAAAATCAATTTTTGAATAGAGTTCGTCGCGCCAACTTCCCAATGCTTCGAACGGCACCCGAATCAGACTCAAAGAACTAAAGTTATAAATTTTCAAAAATGGTCTCAGTGTAACCGGTTACTCTAAATAACTTTGTGTTTCGACTCTGACTCGCAACCACATCAACCATACACCAACAACATCATATGATTCAATCGATTGCTTTATTCCAATAAAAACAATTACAACAATTAGTCATTCTAACATCAGTCACAACATCAACATACTTCACATAGTTCATCAAGCAATTCAATTAATCCAACAATACAAGTTTGCAACAATAATCATGGTATTGAGAGAAGAAAAGTACAACCTAAGCACACACATAATCTATCCACCACAATCATGTTAACATTTAGATAATTAGAACCCCACTCTTACCTTAGAGTTCTTACAAATCTTCTTCTACCTCAACAATAGATTCTTCTCTTCTCTTTTGCCCTAACCTTTCTTCTCACTTTCTCTTGTTTTACGTATCTGACAATTTCCCCCTCTCTAATCCCCATTTTTTTATTATAATATTATTATTATTTAATCCAACTAAAAATAATAATAATTATTCTCATCAAATATTTTAATTAAATCAATATCCATCTAATATTAAATAATAAAATAATTATCTACTAATATAATCTAATTAGTTTTACTCACCACACCACCAAATCCTACGCAATTGCTCACACACCCCTATAACACCTTAAATTTTATTCTTAAGGCCACTACCCCACACCAAGGGCAGCTCAGCACACCAATAGCACAACACAAACAAAATTATCGCATAATTAAATTACGGAAAAATAAATAAAATAAGTCGGGGTATTACAACAACAACATCATGTAATCACAAGAATACAAGTAATACATGAAGAACATGTAGAAACATTATTCATATCAATTATCATAATCAAGAGAAAACACCCATCGTGTTATCATGAATATCTTCTAACTATTCTATGATTAAAAAAGAAAATCTAATTTCTAGAAATCATGAGGTGTCTATCTAGAATCCACCTTAGCAAAAGAGGTGAAGAAGATTGTTGTTGAAAGATGATGAAGTAAAGTGGTGATGGTAAATCCCAAGTTCCTTTGAGTAAATAATTTCAGTTTTTTCTTAAAAAGATCATGAATTCTATTATATATGATAAATAAGTAAAATAAAAATATGTATATATAATATGTAAACGACAAAACTACCCTTAGAAGAAAAATATATTTAATTTGATAAAAAAATGAAATTAGTATTCATATTTTTAAAATTATACTAACTATTTTATTTTTAATACTTTCAATTTATTAGGTTTTAACTTTTTATATTATATAAAGTTACAAAATTACCTTAATGACAAAATCATATATATTTTTTAAAAATTTATTTATTAATATTTTTTAGTTTAATATCAAATTAATCTTTATTTATATTTTATCATATTTAACTTTTTATTTTAAATTATATTTTATAGGGATAAATTTGTAAATTATTTTCTTATTTTATCCTGTCAGATTCTAACCCAGCTCATATTCCGGATAAAATTTGAACTAGTGAGGCAATATAAGATAAGTTTCAGGATTAACTTATCATATTATGTTGTGTCATCAAACACTAGATTGAGATAGGATATAATATTGATATCATATCCTGTCTCTTATCTAGCTTTTCAAATTAATTCCTCAAATAACCCACATTTCAAACAAATTCCCAAAATACCCCATTTTCAGAACAGGATTAAGTGTTGTTTTCAGTTGAATTGGCGACAACTTCATAAGTTTAAGTGGATGCACCAATTGGATTGGAGACACCATACGGTGTTGCTAATTCAATTGGCCCCGGCGTACAAATGCATAAAGGTGGCGCCAATTGGTCTGACACCAGTGTACAAGCATAATTTTTGTTAGTATAAATAGAGGTGCCTCCTAACATTTGCTACAATTCACACATCATTTTAAATTCTTCTTTTATTTTCATCTATAGCTCTATCGTGATTGTTAAAAGATATGGGCATGTTTGTTATTCCGCAATAAAACCTCCGATGAAAATGCTTTTCTGAAACATCCAAAGTTTCGAGCATTTTGAGAGGAGTTTGAAAATTTGGCTAGACAGAGATATTAATGATAGGGAACAAATTAGAAGTATCGAGAGACTAGTTTTGTACATCTCAATTACATATAACAATTATGCTACGCAGCGTATGTGGGTGCGAGTTAGAGATGACGATGATGTTAGGGATATGATGTCTGCAACAAATGACATTGTTTTGGTTGTTGTAATCTCTTAAACATGTTCTGGTGTTAAGTTTTTTTATCAGTTGTTTGTGTTGTTGTATTAAGTTTTTTATCTGTTGTATGTGAGTGCGAGTTAGAATGACAATGTTGTTTATAATGTGGCCCCATCGGCGGCGACATTTGTCAAAAGCCATTGTCCACTTCTCCAATGGAATGTTATCTACCCACCTTAATGCATTTGCATTTGACAATCTAATTTTCTCGCAGTAGTATCAGAATAATGGTTAAGTTAAAGGCACCCATGCATTCACAACTTTTTTTCCGAAGGTTCATATCTTTGATTTCCCGCATGAAATTTTGTGCGATATGTCTAATGCAGTAGACATGGCTATAAGGAGGATTATAACATAACAATCTCAATAGATGCATGTCTGTCAGAAATTAAATAGAGGTTTGGTTGTGGACTAAGAAAACGCAAATGGATTTGTCTTTGAAGAGAGGTATCTATACGACCCACGATAAATTACTTACACACAAGAAGCTTCAATGTCTAACCCCCTAGAATCAAAACATGTCAGGCACCCAACCATAATACCAAGAGGATCCCCCATACCATCGCCAATAAAATGACTATTATTAAGATACCCGAAATGCATATGCCCCCAACATAACATCAAGATATAGCCAAAACACCCAAGGAACATATAACACAAACCTTTCCTCATACTATAGTCAAAATGCCCAAACATCACACCATATCCAAAATACACAAACATCACAACAACCATACGACTTTCAAACACCACAACAACCATTTCAACCTTTCTCCAACGAATCATTCACACCAATGTCCCCCTTCAATCACCCAGGCCGCATACCAATAACCCCTTCAACAAACCCTAACTACTCCGACATGGGTCGCGAACTCAGTTACGACAATGTGTCACTCCATACACAAGGCTTCTTCGAAATGAAAGCACTTCTTATGGATCCTGCTAATGCTTTTGAGACCTTAAATTCTCAAACACCTGAAGTGAATCAATAACGAGAACAACGAGTAAGGGTGGTTAAGAGATGTGGAACCGGTGGCCAGTATGACCAACCCGGTGGCACCACTCCAAAACCTCTTTTAAAAGGTAAAATCAACCAACAAACACTTATTTCCTACCCTGAACTACGAATGCTCTGACTTTCTTATTGCACTATGAGGATACGTAGCACAAGATTGGGAAAATTTGGCGATCACCCTAATAAAAAACCAACCATTTCACTCTAGCAAGTAATCCTTAGACAACGACACCCTTTCACGCTTAAACAACTTAGATGGTTCCAGTCGTCCTATCCCTTCCGTTCATGGGTTTATCGATCTTTTCCCTTTTCTCCTATGAGAATAAATAAAGTTCAATGACGACTCTGTTAGTCCGTCTGTGAGCGTGCGATTGCGCTTTACGAGGCCGTATTCTCATTTTTCGAGGTACGACAAATAAATTATTATTTTTTGGTTTTAACCACTAGTATCCGGTTCACTGAACCAACTAATCTAGTTCGAAAGTAATTTCTGGCATCAAGTGGTTCCAACCCCCTCCCAATCGCAATTGCAGAAGACCAAATTCTAACATCAAGTGGTTCCAACCCCCTACCAATCACAATTGCAGAGGACCATAGTTTTCCTATGCAATCCAACATCAATCACCAGATTCACCACTGAATAATCTAACGTTATAATAAATTAGTATTACCTCCGTTTTTTTTTAAGTGTCATTTTTTGACTTTTTACACATATCAAAAGAGCTAATCATTATTGTTACTTTTCAAATAATAATGTCATTTTATCTATGATACTCTTAATTATTTATTACATTCATTTTATTTTCTCTTTCTGTAATAAATATTTAGAGGTATTTTTTAACAAAAATACAATTAATACTATCTTAAACTTTGAAAGTGACAATTAAAAAGATAAAAAATTATCTAAAAAGTGACATTAAAAAAATAACTGAGAAAAGATTAATCAAGATAATTTATCACAAAATTACATTTCAAATCATTGTATCTTGATTCTTTAATGAATATAAAATAATTTTACAAATAAGCATTTAAAAAAAAAAACATTTTTAATTTTTTGGTCTAATAGTTACATGTTTATAGCCAGTAAAAAAATGGATATAACCTGGTTGTGTAGGTCCCCACTCTGATATGGCTATGGCTATGTCTATGGTAGTACAAGTTTAGAGAAGAAGAAAAACAACAAGGTGAGGTTAAGAGGGATAAAAACTGTCAACAACACAAACAACAATTTTTTTTCTCTCATCACTCCAATTCCACATGGACACCATCCCTACTTCCATCAACAGGTTTTCCATTCTCTCTCTCTCTTTCTCTCTCCTTGATTCTGAATTGAAGTTCTTACTTCTGAAATTTGTTATTTTTGCAGTGGTTTGGGATGGAATTCTTCTTCGTTTTTTCAACAATCAAATTGCTTCAACCTACTTTCTCTTCCTCTCAAACCAAAACGCCCTCTCGCCAAGTTTTCTCTCACTTGCTCTTCCGCCTCTTCTTCCTCTGGTATTCTACTTTTTTCAATCGGTTTTCGCTTCTCGGTTTTTCTTATTTTTGTCTCTTCTGCTAATTAATTGTTCTCAATTTGAGTTTGGTTTCTTTTCAATTTGAAATGTAGTTGCTTTATCTATGTCATGGCGTTTTTTTTTGTGTTCTTTCATATTTGCATCTACTTGTTTTGTTTGATTTTGGGTTGTTACAATGAGACACAACATAGCATATGTATATGTTTTATGTTTGGTGGATTTTGAAGTGTTACACGAACTGACATAAGCCAACAAATATGATGCATTTTGGTTCAATTAAAATGGTGAATGGATCAATTAGAAAAGTGGAAAAAAAGAGAGAACAGAACCATGGTTTTAAATTGTGGTTGTGGGTGTTGCGATTGCCGTCATTGCAGTTGCTACAATGCGCATTCAGCGTGAATTTTAAATGGGAGATGTTTAAAATATACCGTTAAAAAACAATTGATGTTAAGATTTTTCATTATATAGGAAGTAAATTGAGTTTTTGGGTTCTGAGATTTTGAGTTCTGATGAAAATACTTAAAGAAACATGGACAAAATTGTCTGATGTGATTTCTAATTGCGGTCAGACGCATGGTTTTAATTCACACCGAAATTGCGGTCCGATAGGGTTGTGGAGGCTACCGCATCAGCAATATTGCGTCCACAATTGCTTGCGGTTGCAGACTGAAATTTAAAACCATGAATAGAACAGAATAGTATGTTTTATACCGTATTGTCGCATTGTCGGGGTTATGCTGAAAACCTGTATGTTGCGGGAAAATGCCGCCGGTGCAGTCAAAATTGTGCTTGCGGACCGCAATTTAAACCATGTCTGAGAAAGTCTTACAGCATTTCTCACCCTTCGTTATTCTTTCATTCTCCCCGGTTCTGCCGTGTATGCACATGTGACCTTGCTGAGATATAGGCAGGAGAATTTGACTTGAATGCTGTGTTTCATTTTTTATATTATCAGATCCTCTCTTGGTTAAAGCTGCCAGAGGAGACCTGGTTAGTCGTCCTCCTGCATGGATGATGCGCCAGGCAGGAAGGTACATGGCTGCTTACAAAAAGTTAGCCGAGAAACATCCGTCCTTCCGAGAGAGGTCAGAGACGACTGATCTCATTGTAGAAATTTCTTTGCAGCCTTGGAAAGCTTTCAGGCCTGATGGAGTAATTATTTTCTCTGACATCCTTACACCTCTACCTGCATTCGGGATTGACTTTGACATAGAAGATGTGAGGGGACCTGTAATACAGTCACCTATCCGCTCCGAGGAGGGATTAAAGGTTTTGCACACAATTGACTTCGACAAGCTTAGATTTGTAGGAGAATCACTTAAGACCCTACGGAAAGAGGTAAAAATTGGTTGCAACATGTCTTCCCTTTATTTAGGTTGTTTTTCTTAGGTTGTTTTCTAAGGTTGTTTTTCTGACTTGTTTTCTTTTATTTAGGTTGGTGGTGATGCTGCTGTTTTAGGTTTTGTGGGAGCACCTTGGACGTTGGCAACATATATAGTTGAAGGCGGTACAACACGCACGTATACAAACATTAAAAGCATGTGCCATACAGCACCACACATATTGAGGACTCTACTTTCTCATTTGACAAAGGCAATAGCAGATTACATCGTTTTCCAAGTCGAATCTGGGGCTCACTGCATACAAATCTTTGATTCATGGGGTGGACAGCTACCTCCCCATATGTGGGAACTTTGGTCAAAGCCTTATATCAAAGAGGTAAGCAACTATAGGAAAAATGACCACTTCTTTCTTGCTTCATAAAATTGTTGTAGGTTTTCAAATTTTTCGCTGTTAAGCTTAACTTTAACCAATTTCTTTATTGAGGAAAGGAAAATAGTATGTAGCTTGCCAAGTTTTGCAACAGTTAGTCGGTTTTACGTTAAGTTAGTTAGTATATATTTACCAAGTCTCCATGATTCTTCTTGGTTGGTTGTCTTTGTAAATAATATGATTGGTTAAAAGGTTTTAATTTACAAACTTCTTCTTGGTTGGTCCGCTAGAGGAAAAAAAAACTTGTTATTTGCAAGCTTGACTATTACATAAGCTCGTTGGATACTAATCATGCTTCTGACTTCAGGGGAGAAAACTTGAAATTATAACTCTGTTGCCACATCATATTTAAATATTTCATTACGATGATTATTACTATTAGTTTCTTACAAAATAGCAAGTTCACACTAAATAGAAAAGTCTAGGTTGACTACTGTTACGTCATTCTCTTTTTATTTATTTATTTCTGTTAGTTATGTACTTCTTTCTTTCTGAACTTCCAGATTGTAAATTTGGTGAAGAAAAAATGCCCAGAGACACCACTTGTTCTTTATATCAATGGAAATGGTGGCCTTCTCGAGCGTATGATAGATACTGGGGTCGATGTTATTGGATTAGATTGGACAGTGGATATGGCTGATGGAAGAAGAAGATTAGGTAGCGGGATTGGCGTGCAAGGAAATGTGGACCCTGCTTACTTATTCTCTCCTCTTACTGCCCTGACAGAAGAAATTCAGAGGTTGGTGACGTAACCACCATTTACTTTTTATTATTCTTATAGTCATTCTATGGTCGTCTGCATATAGATTCTAGGGGAGGCTATGCCATCAGAGAGCATTGTTACATGGCATATCAGTTTGTTCAACTTCTGCTATATGCTATATTGCTACAGTGCTGTTATAGCCATTATTAGACAAACATTTTGTTCAAATTCCGCTACACTATAGCGCTACTATAACTGCTACTTGATACACACTGCACCGGAGTGATTCCTAAGTGACCCTCCTAGGTGATCCCGCCGAATGAGAAACCAATGTTTCTATCATGGGGTGATAAATGCTTTACCAGGATCTTTCAAGTAAATGTCCATGCTGCATCTTCTCTGTTTATGATCCAGTGTAGGTTAAACTGCCCATAGTATTTGCTTAATTGACAGAAGAACCGAAAATAATAATGATAAGGACAGCATTAAACAAAGAATGAGAGAAATGTTCTTCAAGGAATTGATGCTATATTATTTATCTTTTAGTTTCAAAATTATGAATTGAATCAATAAGACTCGTGTGCCTTTTCTAGAAAGGCCAAAGTTTTGTCCGGTGACACAACTTGATATCTCTACTTGTTATGTTACTAGTTTTTTTGTCCAATGAACCCTCATAGCTATAAGTAAGAATAGAGAAATGAAATTTGTTGATGATTTATCTTGATTTATAATACGATGATTACATGTGACTATCAGGGTTGTGAAGTGTGCGGGACCTAGACGACACATTCTTAATCTTGGGCACGGTGTTCTTGTTGGCACACCTGAAGAAGCTGTTGCGCATTTCTTTGATGTAGCCAGAAGCTTGAAGTTTGACAGAGTCTCTCAAAATAACACTGCAAATGTAGTTTAAACGAAAATGCCAATAGTGTAGCCACTTCTTGTACTTTTCCTGGTAGATCAAGCCATTTCTGGAAAAGTCCAGGTTCAGTCCTTCCTAATACAACTATGCGATGATGATCAATTGATCGTTGTCTGAGAATTTACACATTGCTGTGTCGGCTAACTTATGAAAATAGTCTGCATATTTCTGTATTTCATAATTGTTTATGATAAATCAACATACATATTATACAACGACACACAAACTTTTGATTTCATAACAGATAAAACAAAGCTAACAGACTTAAGGTAACTTATGAACCAACTGTATTAAGTTATTCTTGGTTCCTATAGAAAAATTCAAATGCATTTTTATTCTGAAATAAAAAATATACAATACATTCCTTATATTTATTTAACTTCTGTCTCTTTTGAAGGATGTGTCCATGCACCCAGTAAAATGTTTCACAAGAATTTTCAGGCTTGTCAAAACACTTGACAATTAAACTTGTCACTGGAAGAATTGTTGCCATATTGGTGTAGAACCTCATTCAGAGTTTTGAGAGCCTTGTCATATGACACAAATCCCATAAAAAAGAACTCATAACCATCGACTGTCACAATCTCGATGTATTTTTCTTTCGAGTTAAACATATTTGCTGAAGGACTAACTGCCCTCAGCTGATCCAGCTGCACTACCACCTACAAGTTATGTCACACACAGAATCAACACTTGACCGATACCGTAAAATCACCGATACATGATGTTAAAGATGCAATGAGATAAGGAAGTACCTTATAGTAGATACATTGATGGTTCAAGGAGAATGGATGGTGACAGAGTGGATAGTCACTGCAAAATGCTAATCTTTTAGTTGTTATATAAAGTGTTCCAATCATAGGTCCAGAGATTTTTGATATGTAACAAACATGTTGCTTTAACACTTTCTCTCCTGGAATAACCCCAAATGTTTGCTGAAATAGCTTATCAGACCCTCCATTTGCAATCAGTTTTGTTCCCTGAACTAGTCTAGCTATTGCAGCATCAGCTGGAGTAATACTCATTCTTACTGCACACATTGAAAATGGATTCCATTAGAATAAAGTTTGATCTCAAATTTCATCACAAATTCAATCGCATACTATCATAAGTAAATAGTTATAACTCAAATGTGCAATGTTTTTTTTTTGTCCCTATATTAGGCAACTTGTTACTAGATTCCAAGGAGATATTAATATGAACAGAAAAATATCATCCAAAAAGTCACTACAAATCAAATCATGGAACCAATCAATAATCAATAATCAATAATCAATAATGTGTTGTCTATTTCCAATTTGTTTTCCTTTCACCTTCTTCACTTTAATATACATTTATTGAATCTAGATCTCCATTCTTAAACAAACACTTGCCTTCACTCTTCTCCACTTCAATTCTTATCTTCTTTCACCAAACAAAAATATCTACTATCACTACCATCCATCATCATGACCTCAACCACTGCACCACTCCTTCCATGGAAGGTTCGCTTCACCATGTCTACCATTTCTTCTCTCATCTCAGTCTCTCACCGTTCCAATGACACCGTCAACCGCCGTCTCTTCAACTTCTTCGATCGAAAAACCCCTCCTAACCCTAACTCCATCGATGGAGTCTCTTCCTCTGACGTCATCGTAGACCCCACACGCGATCTCTGGTTTCGCCTTTTCATCCCCTCCTCAAACTCCATCTCCGACGGACCTCTCCCCGTCTTTGTGTTTTTCCACGGTGGCGGTTTTGCATTGTTTTCTCCGTCTTCCATCTCATACAATGCTGTTTGTCGACTATTCTGTCGTTCGTTTCCCGCCATCATTGTTTCTGTTAATTACCGTCTTGCCCCTGAGCATCGTTATCCTTCTCAATATGAAGATGGTTTGGAAATCCTTAAATTCCTCGATCAAAATAACAACGTTTTAGGAAAATCTGCTGATATCAGCAAATGTTTTTTGTCGGGTGATAGCGCGGGTGGTAATTTGGCCCATCATGTAGCAGTTCGAGCTTCCTTAGAAAAGTTTCAAGTTTTGAAAATTATTGGTTTGGTTTCAATCCAACCGTTTTTCGGAGGTGAGGAAAGAACCGAATCTGAGATCCGATTCAACCGAGTTCCTATTGTTTCAATGGATAAAACTGATTGGTATTGGAAGATGTTTTTGCCAGATGGATCAACCCGTGATCATGAAGCGGTTAATGTTTCTGGACCTAATGCAATGGATATTTCGAATGTGGATTATCCGAATACCCTTTTGTGTGTTGGTGGATTGGATCCATTATTGGATTGGCAAAAGAGATATTACGAATGGTTGATAAAATCCGGAAAAGAAGTGGAATTAATTGAATATCCAAATATGATTCATGTGTTTTTTTATTTTCCAGAATTACCAGAGACGTCACAGTTTATTTCTAGAGTTAAGGATTTCATGAATAGGCAAATGGCTAATGTGAATTAAGGGTTTACGTAAATTGTATACTGGTTTGTCTATATATATTGTATGAAAGCTAGAGAAAATAGGATTATATGTAATATGTATAGATACAATTTTCTTCTGTAATATTTTGTCTTTCGCTGTCGATGTGAGAATCTCGATCGATAATATGTAAGTTTCATGTGTTGACACTCTATGACCCTTAGGCTTTTTGCTGTAATATTATAAGACAGAAAAATGAAAACTCACCATGGTTCCAAATATTGTCAACCATGCTCTCAGCATGTTTAGTTACTTCTTCAACTTTCTTGCCGCAGTTATTCAGTGCACCACTTATTTTATCCATTGGATTAGGACCTGAAAATCATAACAGCAGGGTCATCAACAATACTGAAAAATAGAACAACTTTAGTTACAACAAAAAAGAGTTATAGAAGTCACTCACGGTTGGCAGCGGCATCAGAAGAAGGTTTAGCAGGAGAAAGTTGTACATAAGGGTTGTTGCTATTGTTGTGCAAGCTAGTTCTAGTAATTGTTCCATCAGTAACTGGAATTTCTCTGTGACTGTAGCTCATTCTCTTGTTTAGCAGAAGAACCAAATAACACCAGTGGATACAGAATTTGGAAAGAGAGAAGATTAGAAGAAGAAGATGGAAGTGAAATAATAAAAAGTAAGTTGAGAACAGTTGGAGAAATATGCTGATGTTATTGTTAAGGAATATAACATCACATCACATTGTTTTTTAATACATTATGTTAATGTATGAAAATGGTTTTCTATGATGTTGGTTTGCATTAGTTGAGAGAATATAGTGTGAATGGTTTTGTTTGATTTTATGATTGTTAAAGTCTATGAGCATATTTGAAGTGGTGTGTGAATGTTTGCTTGTTTAGGAATTGGGATTAAAGTGAAGTAGTACAAGAGTTGATTATGGAGAATAAATTCAAGATAATGGAAACATAACACCGAAAGAGAGATGCTGTGGAATAAGATGCCAAAAAGTCGGCCAAAAATAAAATTTTAGGATTAAATCATTTGAGTAGTTTAGATGTACATTAACATTCAAATATAAGAGCACGATAAAGTATTTATTTGCATTAATATTTGGAGAATTTTTAACAATGAAATTGAAGCGAGACATAAATAGATGATTTAGGTGTAAATGCCAATATGTCAAAATTATTACAATGTTTAAAACTAAGAAAATAATTTGATGGATCACTAAGGTAATAGTGATCATTGTCATGCTTATTTGATATTAACTTTTTATTGAGATAGAATAGTCCATTCCGAGATTTATCTCATCCAATTATTTTCTTTGTTGTCCGAACTTGAAATATGCAATTAGAGGATGAAAAAATTGAATCACAATTTATTGATTTTGTTGATTGGGAAATATACAATAGATTGAATTTGAAAGTCGGAAGTGAAGTTTGTCCGCTGAAAAACAACCACGTATACCTTTTTCTTCAAGAATAATTTATTCATCTCATTGTTTTGAATTAGTTCATGTTGACATTTGAGATCGATTCTCCATACCGTCCAACAAGTGATCACATTATTTTCTAACAATTTTTAATGATTATTCACGATGTATTTAGTTGTATCTAACACAACATAAATTTGAAACATTCACTATGTTAGTTCATTTTTTTTAATCAAATAAATTATCAATTTAGTACTAAAATTAATCAAATCAACTCTGATAACGGAGACATTTTTCTTCCCCAACTCCAAACCATAATGGTTCATAATTTTTGTTCAAACAAATACAAACATGAGTTCATAATCATGACATCATTCACCAATGCAATTGCATTGTAACTGATCAACAAAATGGAATTGTAGAATGAAAACATCAACAGCTTCTTAATATTCCAAGAGCGTTAGATTTTCAAGCAAACTTCCCTTTTTTTTTTGGAAAAATGTGTTCTTAATGGAACATATATGATAAACAAACTTCCAATTCCTATCCTAAAATGTAAATACACTCACCAAATTTTACTTGGTCTGCCCTTCGTACTCATCACTCTGTGTGTTTGGATGTCTATGTTTTGCTAAAAATACGATTATTCAACATAAGTTTGATGAGTGTTCCAAAACTAATATATTTTTCTATTACTCTTTTAATCAATAGTATATCACATATATGACATGAAAACTTGTCAAATACATGTCTCTCGCGATGTTCAGTTTCATGAATTGTATTTCTTTATCAAGATATTCAATCCCCTTCATTTAAAATGCAATAAGCATCAACACTTAAAATCTTGATTATGAATTTAATAAGATATCTTCCACTTTACCAATTCAACCTAATAATCCTCCAAAAATAGTCATGATGATAATTCAAATGACACAATTGTGACTATTCTCACTTCTTAAGATGATCCCTCATCCAATCTTCCATTATTTTCTGTAGGTACTCTCTCCTAAATAATTCTCCTATAAAATTGAAGTCTTCAAATCATTGTGATTCTCAATGTATTCGCAATCCTCAAATCTGTCTCAAGGGTTACATATGTAAAATTAATGATAATACGTACAAAATTAACCTTTTTTTTAAAAAATTATTTATCATTATCAAATTTACGTAATTCACATCGAGTTTTTCTCATCAATATCATTGAAAATAAATAGCAAAAATCTTATTCTCAAACCATGTAATCAGCCGAATGACATGAAATTATGATTAAAGAAATTCAAGCCCTTGAATCAAATAACACTTGAATTTCATGTCCACACCCTAAAGGTAAATCAACAATTGATTATAAGTGGATTTACAAAATCAAATATCACTCTGATGGTTTCATTGAGAGATATAAAGTTTGTTTAGTTGTCAAAGGCTACACTCAAGTCTAAGGCATCAACTATCATGATACCTTTGTACTTGTCGTTAAACTAGTCATAATTCGACTTCTTTTCTACATCGCTGCCAATAAAAATTAGTCATTACATCGCGCTCGACACGTGTCTCCTTTGCAGTTTTCTATAACTTTAACAAGTTAAATCAATTTTAAATATTAGGACACTTCTCCATAACGTTGTTATACTAAATAAAACCAATCTAAAGGACCAACCCACTAGCAACAACAAATAATAATGAATTTTTAGACATTAGCACGTTAAAACTAGTAAAAAATGACAAAATTGAAGTAAAAGTGTTTTTTTTTTCAACTAGCAAATGAGTAAATATAATCTACATATCAAAATAGTGGTTAATTTATGTCCTTTTCATTAAGGCTTGTAATTCCAACGATAGTGTACCTACAAAAAGAACATTTGTTCTAAGAATTTGTTGATTTCATATTAGTAATTGCCCTTATTGCAAAAATTGTAAAAAGCATAGTGCCATAAATGTGTACTTGACTTAAATTAAAGTGAGCTTGAATATTTTCATGTGTCAAATCCATCAACTATTTGAGATATAAGAAACTCTTCAGCTTCATTTTCCTGAATTTTAGATATACACAATCCTTGTCATAAAAATCCAAAATTAAACATATATGATATCTATTATTATGTTTATTAAAGAAAATAAAATTTCAACTTTCAATATCACCTCTTCTTGAATTTTTCACATCATAGAAGCAACTTCCATCTGAAGTTCTTTGAATTTTTCAATGATAAATGACTTTTGAAATTGAAACTCAAAGTTAAAATGACTTATACAAACAATAATTGTATGAAATAAACTAAAATAAACCTATTTTCTTTTTCAATTTAATCACTTAATGTATTATCATATTGTTCAACAAATTGCTTCAATGATGTATTTGAGTTTACATATACATCAAAAATGAGTTCATTCTTTCATTTCGTTGTATACTTGACAAAAGTGTTTTAATATTCTCATAATTAAATTATCTAAATTTTTTTTCTGAAACCTTTTTCATTAAATGTCATAGGCACCATCGATGTCGAGTTTTTGAAAATTTAATTCAATTGCATTTTTCATAACTCTACCCTGATAAGTAATTATTGCATTCAGTGCTCCTCTGTGTATACATTCTAACCATGTAAACAACCAAGTAAAAGTTTTTGTATCCTCGTTCGACAAGAGAGCACAACCTAACAAAGTTGATTGACTATGATGATTTAATTCAACGAAAGAGGGAAATGTCATGTCATATTTATTTGTTAAATATGTGGTATCAATAATAATAGCTTCACCAAAATATTTATATGAAACTCTACATCTTGCATATTCCCAAAATACATTTCTTAAATGAATTTTATCATCCACATCCTTTACATAATAAAATAGATTATTTTTCTTTTCCATTCTAACAAAATAGTTTTGAATTGCTTTAGCATTTTCAATTTTAAGTCTTAGTCTTCTTGCCTTGTCGATATGATTTCTACATCATTTTTCTCTAAAAAATACATTCTCAGAACCATTTTCTCACTACTAAAAAAATATATTTAACCTCGGGTGCAAGATTGATTTAACTTCGGTTATAGAGGCAAGGTAATAAAGGACGTCATAAAAACTCTCTATTTTACCCCTGAATTTTAGATTAATCTGTTGGTGCACAATGTTGATGATGGAGAAGATGATGAAAGAGGGAGAAAACAAATATGTAACTAACTTTAAAAGAAATTGATTACACTACGATTCTATTACAACTGAAACTCAACTTTAGCTTATATACACACATCTAAGTTAAATAAAATTCAAATGCAAACCAAATTAATCCTAACTAACTGAATTTGGATTACACTCTAACACCATCCCTTAATCTACATTCAAGACTAAAATCAATAACACCAATTTCATCCCTCAAGTGGATAAAAATATTCAGTTTTGATTGCTTTGGTTAACACATCTGCAAATTTCTTCTGAGTGCTACAGTGAACAATTTCAACCATTCTACTTTAAACTTGATTTCTCAGAAAATAAAATTTTGTGCCAATGTGTTTGCTTCTTCTATGCAACAATAAATTCTTGTCAAGATTTATAGTTGATTTGTTATTAATCATCAACTTCATAGACTTGCTCACTTTGATCTTTAGATCTTGCAAAAGTTTAGAATTCAAAAAGCTTGGCAAGAAGACAAAACACCTACAATGTACTCAACTTCACAAGTTGACAATGCAACCACTAGTTACTTTTTGGAGCACCAAGAAATGGGACCTCCCAAATACTTGAAGACATATCTAGAAGTAATTCTTCTATCAACTCTGTCTGCACGTCAATCAGAGTCTGAATAGCGTATCAGCTATGAATCAAATTTAACATTATAGGGGAACAAAACTCCATACCTCAGAATCCCCTTAATGTACCTCAATATCCTAGAATGGCTAACCAAACTTAGAATAAAAGTTTTTTTAATAAATTTTTAGCATTTTTAAAAAACATATACATTTGGATTTTTGTATAATGCTTAGGAAATAAACATATTTTTTTTGGATTTTTATTTAATTGAAAAGAAATATATAAACTAAATAATCTGAATAATTACTAAAGCAAGAAAATACATTTCTAAATTAAAAAATTAATTAAGATAAATTAACAAAAATCTAAAATTAAATCCTAAATGATTAAATTCTGATTAACAGAAAAATATTATT